TTTTACATGTGCTGATTCCCATTTTCATGTGTATGTGTGTTCTGTTTCCCATGCTTGCGCCTTTGCAGTGCAATGTCCCAGTGTGTCGTAATAAAATATAGTTTTCGGTAATTGAAGCGATCTTTGATAACAACGCCTATTCGAACCGTCTAGCGAAATGAATTTTCGCATCTAGACCAACATCCAACCAAACCTAATAACTTCTAATGAGTATCCTGACCCCTTCCTGCGCAGTAGTATCCGGAACCTATCCTCCCGACTAACCTTATACTAATCTCGTGGCTCATCGTGCGCAATCCTCATACTTTACGGTCTTCCCATCTCTTAAGAGTCGAGACCTCGAATCATCTCCATGCTCATCGTATCCCCTACTAGGACCGGCACTCGGCCTGTTCTCCGAACGCAAGCCATCATGGTTCATGGTGTTGAGCCGGCTCCAGGGCCGGAAGCGATTCACAATAATTTGCTTACCTCTCCTTGCTTCCTTTCTTCGAATCTGTGTATCGTCTTTCTCTTGTTATTCTAAAGCCGAAAGATCTGGTTCCCCGTCTAGTTTATTTCTTCATAGTTGAAAAATCTGGTGAGCTTATAGAAACCACCTGTGAGAAGCCCGCCGAGAAACTGTTATAGCAATATAAAAATGAGTTGGTACGGCAAAGAGGATGCTGTCTCTGAAGAGTGCTTCAAATAGCTTCACGTTACTAGAGCAGGGATCTAAGGTTGACTATGAAACCGGGGCAGGACGTAAATACCTACAGTAAATTCAATGGTACCCCTGAAGCACCCGATAACCTCTGATCCGAAGATTCCGAATGTTCTCGCCGGATCCACAGCACCACCCGTCCAAGCAACACTCATCACAGTGCAACCCTATCCCTACAGGTGCCATGAACATAGCTTTAGTGTTCTCGGCTTCTACTCATATCACCAGAAAGTCCGCAACTCAGGAACTAAGAAAACTAGATTACTCCCTTGTAATTTACCAGTATATGGTATGTGCTGGTCTACCCGAGTTGCAGACTTTCTGGCGGCATGAGTAGTATGAGAAAAGTAAATACAAGCTCGTTCGTAAATAACATCTCAAGGAACTTGAAGGAAGAGATCTGATATCACAGAAGTACCGGGTGACAGTTTCAACGAAAGAGGGCATCGTCCCCTGGATTGAGACCTCGGATGGCTGCGGCAGCGAAAATTTGGGCGATGAATATGAATGCGGATCTAAGATGTTTGATGTAAGCAATTGTGTGATTGTCTAGAACTTGATAGGAAACATGAGACTCATGATGAGAGACAGAGTAGGTGGGCCACTGGATATTGCCACCACGAGTCCAGACTGGAGGACCCCTAATTTGCTCATGTTTAGTCAGGACTCAGAAGCTTAGATAGCTGAGAGGACCCACTACATCCGCAAGGCAAAGAGCAATTTGTGCCCTGCACACAATGATCGCTTGGCATGATCTTCTCCCCAGGACCCAAAGTAGTAACCCGTCTCCATTCAAGACCCGGAGACCGGAAAACTTTATGCTCGGGCCGTTTGCTGATACTCGGTGGCAATGTAATGTGGAACTGGCATGTCCAGACCTAGGTGGGGTAGAAGAAAATACATAAAGCCGAAAAGAAGATCAGATATTGATGGCGAGGCTCGAACCAAAAATGAGAGATATGTAGAATAACTGATTTAAATTTGGACTTGCTTAAACAGAAGTGTTCATTTGAGATGCTTGATTGGCAGTTTGAATCCCGCCATAGACGAAAAAGAAACGTTCCCACGAATTCGTCCAGGAAAGCAACGAAATGGGGTTTGAGACTACCAAAGATGGTCAGGGGTGGAGACCATCGTGATCGTTGTAATCTTGCTTGTGAAGTGACGGAATTGGAACGAAATGAACCGGACTAACCGGGAATGACAATCATGATATTCTTACTATGTAAGAGTGAAGGATTGATTGAATGGACTGTGAGAGAGAGAAAGCAACAAGTTTGGAGATTGAACTTCTCACCAAGAACTTAAAATCAGAAAGAAACCTGATTTCTCAGTTACTTATGGAAAATAATGACATTTACGTTTCCATTTCTGCTTGAAATATAGCAAGCCGCCTAGGTAGTGTACTTATTTCGATGTACCAAACAGAAAAAGAGGAGAAAAGATGTTACCAACAAACTCTGTTGCCTCTCTCTCTGTTCTCTATGAACTTTATAATGCCTGTTGTATACGTATACCTCTGACCCTACAAGGACGTACTTTTGAAAAGACGTGATATCAGACTGTTTCTTCTAGTGTGAATGGAAACCAAATGTGTTTTCGTACAGTATCCAAATCGTGGTGGCCGTGAGCTGGCTTAAATTAAGAGGGTCCACCTCCGATCAACCCCAGTGACTGGCTGACGGTAGCTTCTTGGTGCCACTACACATGTACTTTGTCAAAGTGATGCATCGTTAGGTCAATATCGGAGTCGGGCAATGCAAACAATCATATTGACTTCGGATCCATCTAAAATTGAGATCTTTGAGAAAATTCGATGGGACTCAATTTGCACCTGGGATGCCTTGAATCCAATACCTTGTGCCAGCACTTCCAGGTCGGCGATTGCACATATGCAATGAATGGCACTAGGTGTTAATCAGCAATTGAAGTAATAAAGCGTAAGACAAAGATCCTTTCGAGAACTAAGACAGTAGCGTCAGACGTCAAAACCCAAGGGAAAAGGAGATGCAGAGCTCAACATATTTGCCACGATATGTATCGTCGAATCAGGTCATTAATCCCGGGATATGAGGTCGAGAAATGCAATTGAGAATCACTGCATACTGCGAGCGAGGATGGCACGTTTTGTCGTAGGGATGGATGACTTTGAAAGACACATCAAGGACAACGAAAGAAACAAGAGTACTTTCACTTGTATTAGATTAGCGCTTGTGCAATGGTAGCTGAGTGGCTGGGGGAGGTTGGGTGGATAGTTATTAAAGATGATTGAACTCTATATAGGATTTTATATATTGACAAGGGTGGTTATCTCCTTAAATACTGAAAACCGCTACCAGGATATTTCCTAAAATGATGAAGCACCTTTTTTTAGGGATTCTTCTAGAAAAACGATTTTAGATTAAATTTATATCTAGATGTAAGCGCTTTATAGATTTAGGACCTCTGTATAGCGTTATCAAATTCCTCAAAAGTATACGGTAAACAACTGTAACACAAAGAGAAGCAAGATTGATCAACTATAGATCTTCAAAAAATAATTCCACGTTGTGTCTAGGATTATGAATTTGAAAGGTTGATCATACAACGGCAATGATATATAAGTGGGATTTGTAATATGAAGATTTAAGACTTTTCTTCAGCCCTGAAGTCGCAATTAGACGAATACGGTAATAAATCGCACAAGAAGACTGTTCTATTGGCACCAAATTGTGTGGAAGGACTCCGCTTCGAAAAGAGTTTCGGAGAATAACCCTAGCCGTATTAATAATAGTATATATTATATAACAATATTTAATAGCCGATCCGTTACAGTAGTATATATCATGTAATTTGAACTTTACTATTAATTTATCATTTTTATATACAAGATACTAGTATCTACCGATAGGTCTTTATACATAAGTATCGTATATATTTACAAAATTGAATATGCAAGTACAGGATAATAGATCAGATATCATATCATATTATAATCCAAAATAGTAAATCTGTGAATCAAATATAAGATTTCTTTCAATAGGATTTCAAATTTTTAATCTGATTACCTATTACAAGAGAATCTTGAATCTTTATTCCTGTATTTGTATATTCAATTTTGTAAATGTATACGGTAGTCTCTTTAAGTTATATAACTATCTAGATAGTATAACTCATTCCTAGTATCGTCTTATCTCAGCTAACTGAGGCTAGGTCCAGTCGTATTTGGTCTAGCTATAGATCCCACTACAGATCATAGGATTGGAAGAATCTATAAAGTTGATTATCCATCTTTACTCCATAACTCTATATTAGCGAATTTAAGGAACCAAGCTAGACTATATATAGTTTGGCTTCGTCCAAATGCGGTTGGACTCAACCTCAGTTGAGGCAAGACGGTATACATCTCTGACCAAATGAGCCCATAAAAACTCAAACCTTATTTAGAAGTGGAAAGCTTTTTCAGTCCCTCTCCACCAATTATCTTTTTTAGATATACAGGAGGAAAATTGGCAAGAAAATATGATGAGGGGCGAGAAAAAACATCATTCATTATGAGCCGCTTCCACCTACAACTCGTAAATGTTTGGATGGATGGATGGTAGAATTATCGTACCGGTTATCGACGAGAAGCATTTGTTCAATTTTCAAAGCTTCAAATAAGTCTTCACCGCAAAGAACTAGATACCCCTCTTCTTCACAAGATCTACTTGGCCAACCCTCTGACCACTTCATCAGATTCATCTATCCACCAAGGCTATTTTACTGTACAGGGTTTGCTGACCCATTGATTCCTTCCTAGTGTGTTGTTGTTTTAACTCAATATTAAATATTAAGAAGCTAACCTTTAACTCATGACTTTCGGACATCGGTGCTAAAAGCATTGAGGCAAATAAATTTTATGACTACCTACGGCACCTCAAAGTTTAACTAAGAAATCTACTTCCGACGCTTCCCTGGGTGCTATAGCAACTTGTGAAAATATCCTAGATGCACATGTGGCCCATCTACCTCGCAGTCTCATTCATATATACAAAAGCTCGAGTGTCAATATATTGGCTCCACCCATCTTCACCGGGGAATTTAAGCACGTACCATTTCATGATACCCTTCTTCAAGATTCAAACTTCAAATCACCATTCTTCTTGTCCACTAAAACACCCTATCACCTCTTTGCACGACTGGGGAAAAATTGGGACACACTAGGGCTCCCAAGAATTCTGTGGACCATATCTTTAATCTTCAATACCCTTCCTCTTCCTCTTCTTCTTTCTCATCAACATCCTACACATCTATTACCATTCAACAGAACGCCAGAATGCAGATGAGTAGCCAAAACTCTGGAGCGACAACTCCTATCGCTGTCAATGGGGATGTCATGAATATGCGTGGGGAACTCAAAGGACAGGGTATGTAAATGTCTTCAATGAACTGATTCAACCCATCTTTCTTTCCTTTCCTCAATCTCTGACATGAATCATATAGGTACCAAAAGCAGAAGGAGCGTTTCCAACATGAACCCAATTGCGTTAGAGAAGAAGCGAGAAAACGACCGCAACGCCCAAAGAAATATCAGAGAAAAGGCAAGGAATAATTTGGCAGCCTTGGAACATAAAGTGAAGGAGTTGGAAGCCAACCAGGACCCCGAGTTGAAGAGAGCACTTGCCGAAGCACAAAACCGACTCAAAGGATTCCAGCAATTGGAAAACCAAGTTAAAGCATTGACTGCATTGTTGTTGCAACACGGCATCGACCCCAATCAAGCATTGCCACCCACTCAAGAACAGTTTGGAAACGTGTTGGGTGAGATGGAGATGGGTCGCCCCACGACAAGTTACCAAGGTGTCGAACTTTCTCCAGCTGTCCGATCAATGTATCCAATCGGACAAGTACAGTCTCAACCCCTTGCACTCGTACCTATCCAGTACAATGTGGATTCTCCTCAACACATGGGATCTCACATCGATTCCCCTCAATCCTTGGGACTTTCCCACCATTCGGGATCTCACATGGATTCCCCTCAATCCTTGAGACTTTCCAACCGTTCAGGATCTCAAACTGGATCACGACTTGGATCCCGTACTGGATCTCATTATGGATCTCATCAAGGATCTCCTCAACTCACCGAATCTCCGCAATTTACGGGAAATCCTTTATTTACGGGACCTTCTCAACATATGGAACATCTTCAACAAACGGGACCTCCTCAGACTATGCTGGCATATCCTCAATCTATCCCTTCTCAGTTCGTGGAACCCTCGCAACACATGGGACAAACTCATCCCATGGCACAGTCGCAATCCATGCCCCCTCAATTCGTAGGACCCCCGCAACATATGAGACAAGCCCATCCCATGGTACATTCGCAATCTCAATCATCACCCCTTCAACACAACTTCCAAAATCTCGCATCTCAAAACGCATATCCGTCCAACCAGAACGTGAATTGGAATTTTCAATCGCCCAATAACGCACAGGGTTGGGATCATGCGAATGATGTCGCATTACCAAACGGTGCGATGAATTATCCCACCGACGTTACATATGTGCCGCTATAAATTTGAGATTCGCGAAAAACATACATACGCACACTCGAGTTGGGAAAGTCAGAAATTCTTTGCGAGGAAATCATTTTAGAAACAAGGACCTTTCGTTATCGGTTGCGTGCTTCGTTTTATGGTTGGGATTTATTTGGGAATAGAAAAGTATCGGTGGGAACATCTGGAATATCTGGACTGGAAAGGTGTTGTTTAAATGGGATTTGGGACACGGCATATATAACAGGTGTTGGTTAGGCCAAGGCCTTGGGTCAAATTACGGTGTAACGGTGTAACAGTGCAACGGCGAATGGTGTAACGGCGCAACGGTGTAACGGTGTAACGGTGGTGTAACGATGTTACATTGTTCTGATACCCTTATACCCCCCTACTTGGATAAGCTACAGGATTGGATGTCTATTCACTGATGGATGCGATTGTTATAATTCTTTTTTTTTCTTTTCAATTTGTACAAAGTAGAGTTTGGAAAGCTTCACAGCTGTACGAGTAGATAGATAGGTTTTCATTGATACATACAGATAGATTGGTTACAACTTGGAATTTCCATAGATTATATACAAATTAGCGACAAATTTATAAATTTCAAAACAGATACAATATCATTCATACAACAACTTCAAGTTATTTTCATTGATTACGAGGTTACAGTACAATAATACAATGTGAATAGTGACTGAATCAATGATAATTCAACATCCAATCCAATCCAATCTAAACATGTACAGTGTCGTATCGCATTGACACACATTACACATTACCCCGCCTCCCCTGAAACCCCCAGAACCACTCCTCGGAAACATCAAAAGTTATCCTCGCTCATTCCTAAAATTATATCCATAACTATTCCTTCAAATCTTTCGCCACCATATCTAAGACTATCTTTATTACCGAAATTTCGTACTGAGTATAAAGTTTTTGAATTTCACTCACTGATTGGTTATATATATGAATGGCAGGCGATATTTTTTGAATTGGATGGATAGGTGGATAGATAGATGAATGGATGGATAGATGGATACAAGCGTCGATGTATTGTATAGTGGAAAGTATATATAATCCAAATATCAGAAAGAATAGAATCTAGATTAATCTGGATTATTATTAAGAAACAGAAGAGTACAGGGATGAGATGAAATCAAAAACTATCTATCTATACGTCGTTTAGCTTGTATTACATTAACATTATATTACCCCTGTATACAACCAACTTCTCAGTGAATACTTGTCGTATATTACTATTACAGTATTTGATTCACTCACTAAGCACTACTACAAATTCAAACCGGAGACGGACGAATCCTCCGTATAAGGTTTGTGCTGCTTACTAGTAGTGAGTGAGATATACTAGTGAGTGAGATACATACATGCGTGGATGAAACCCCAATACGATTGTTGCAAAAATGTAAAAATGTAAAAATGCAAAAATGCAAAAATGTATATAAAAGTTTGAAACTAATGCTGACTGATAGGTTCCTGTAGCTTACTACCTACTCGTATATGTTATCGGACCCCTTTTTTTGTGAAAATTGGAAAATTGATTGATAGGGCTAGAGATACAAGATATATGGTATATCTGCTTCCGGCTATTTTAGTTTCCGAATCTATCTTGTCTTGTCTTGTCTTGTCTTGCGGGATTGTAAATTTGTAATGCTGCTAGCTAGTGGGTGATGAGATCAAATGCCGATAATGAGGGGTTCATTTCCATCCGGCGTGAATGTGTGATAATATTCAGCCGCTTGGTGTTTAATAATTATTTAATTATAGGTGCTGTACCAAAATTTGCAGCGAAAATAGAGGTTTTGATAGCATGAGAGAAGTTAATACATGGTTCTACTTTCTACTAGCAGCTCTATACTAAGCTAGGAAATAAAATAAATAATCTAGTCCCACGAGCTCGATATACAATATCATTAGAAACCAGCACCGTATACCATTCAAAATTCATCAGTATATCGTTAGATACCGGTACCGTACACCAACCATCTAAAGATCAGTCTGAAACTACTCCACTCAACTTCAAACCCCCAACAGAGCTCGCGTCTCCGCATCTCCGAAATGTGAGAAGCTTGCTATTAAACACTTTCCACCCGATTTTGATAAGCAAGACAGTAATGATCCGATCTCATCCGACTGTTTCAAGAATACGGTACATACAATAAATATCAAAAAGACGAGTAATGGGTAAATAACCAATGAAATTCAATGCTACATACAGTACGAGTATAGGCAATAAAAATCGAGTCATGGGTAAATGACCCGAAAATCTCCTAGCCATCTATACCCAGGAGTCAGGAAGGTCAACATCAAAATGTCAATGTGAAAAGCCACTCACTGACTTGACTGGCAGACACATCATTGGTTTTTTTTGGGGATGTTCGTGTTACACCCGGATAGATGTGGCGCGGGAGGGACGGGAGCTGGGGTAGATGATCAAGTAGGGGTCTAGGGGTCTAGGGGTCTGGTACACTTCGTATTGCATTTTCTTTTGTTTTTCTATCTGCTACTTGTTGCTGCTAGAAAGTATACAAATCTATACGAGTAGACTATAATGTCTATTTTTTCTCATTTGATAGATTTCGGAAATATAGAACTTCTAGTTTCTATCTATAATATTAATTCGAGTCGAATTAATAATATTAGAGTTTCTTATTATATAAATAGCGATATATATTATATATTTCCTAATAATATAAATAAGTATATTACTATCAAAACTTAGATACTTAGATTAGAATAAGCTTAATTCTAATAGAAAATAAGCTTCTATTTCAATAAACCTTAATTATATTTATTAATACGAGTAGAAACAGGATCTATAATATCGATATTCGAACGCTTTTACGAGTACTTATTCTACTTCGAAACTAATTAATAAAAGCTTATAATCTAATTCTGAATCAGCTAATAAAAGTATATAATCAAGCTTTATTAACTAAAACCTTATTCTATATTAGAATTAAGCAAATCCAGAGTACCCGAGTTTTGACAGTATAGTACGAGTAGTAACTTCTCGAGATCTTCTTTAGTTTGTACCTCCGTAGGGGGTTGATGGCAGGCGGGTAGGGTAGATCGCAAGCTAAAGTGTCTACAGTACTAGTTAACAGCGATCAACAAAAATCCAAACGATAACGTTTAAGTAGTGTAGTACCCCCTCCCTATCATATCATATCAATGACATTATATCATATCAGATCCGCCCCTCAATGCCAATCCCAATCCCAACCCTAAACCTAATCACGAACCCGAACCCTGTGGCTCAGTTCAGCTCAGTTCAGTTCAGCTCAGCTCAGTACATCAATCACTCGCGCTGATTTATTTCCATCTTTCCATCTTTTTCCTCTCTCGCGCATACTAGTACCCTACCCCAGCTTATTCGGAAGTTATCCATCCCCTGCGAAACAAACCATGTGATCATCTCCCTATCCCTATCCCTATACCCAGTCCCAGTTGTCGATCTGGCGTCTACGGTAAATCTCCATTTTCCGTCTCCATTCTCCATTCTCCATCTTCAAACATCTCATCTCATCTCATCTCCACTTTTCAAGATGAAGATGCTACTTACTGATGCCTGTATGATCTACAACTCTCACTATGCGCTATAGCCGCCGGTACCTTCACCGACTTTCGGACTGGAGGCTGTATGTAATCTTACATAACACATACAATGATTACATACAGTATATAATACTGTAACAGTAGATATATAAATATCCTTAACATTACATTATTTTAATAAGCAATCAACATCGTTTCTTTGTTTCTTTATATAATCTAGTATCTATCACTCGTTACTGCAGTCATTATATTGCTACATCCCCCTTATCATCATTTGTGATAAATGCTCACACCATTTACACCCCCATTCCATCTACAGTATACCAAACCTCCGAGTGGATTAGGCTGACACCTAATCCACTCCCCATTCTTCTTCTTCTTCTCCTTCCCCATCTCCTTCATCATCTACTCAGCATCTATACAAAAGATATATACATATATACCAACAATACCAGTACTAAACACCATCCATCCCGATCCCCATACGAAAATTCCCCTACCCATAATCCATAACCCATACATAACCCATAGTCTCTATCATACCCTCCATCCTCCAGACTCACAAATTACAATGCCACCTCACCTCACTCACTCATATTGCCCTATCTATCTATCTTCTGATTCTCCAATTCTCCAATTCCCCAATTATCTACTTTTTTACTCTTCTAAAGATCAGTAGAAGCGGAAGCGGAGCGGATAGAGTAATAATACACCTCACTGCAATACAATCAACTAACTACCTACCTAGGTACTCGAGTGCTTGCTCAACTTAACATAAAATAACATCCTATACCAGTAATTATTCACCTAACTATTTAGTTACTCATGCCACAAGAAAATCCACAATTCGAGTAAACCAGCATATATCTATTATACATAAACTTCAGTAATAAGAAACTACAAAGGAGTAATCTAGTTTTTTTTTGGTTTCCGAGTTATAGACTTTCTGGTAATATAAGTAACCACTCATCTAACCAGTCACTGTTTCCTCCTCCCTCCTCCTCATCTTCCTCATCTTCCTCATCTTCCTCCTTCAGATCTATCTCATTCTGAAAACGCCCTCTAATATATATATAATATACCTAACCTCATATCGAACCTAAACTGATCTAATATAGCATAATATAACCTAATATAACCTAACATATCTATCTACTCGAATATCTAATAATTTACAATATACAACTTACAACTTACAATACACCTAGTCAAAGTAAAAAACCGTAAATAAGTATATAGAATTTCAGTCCCCAGTCCCCCAGTTCCCTAGCACCCTAGTACTACTATTCAAATACCCAAGTTCAAGTTCAGATTACTCAAACCAAGTATCCATCAATACAAAATACCTACCTACCTACCTAGGTATATAAACAAGCTTCTACATCCACATCCACATCCACATCCACATCCATATACATCCACATCCCCATCAATATCCACATCAATATCCATATCCACATCCACTGAGGGCAAAATATCAAAACATCAAAATATCAATTCAACACCCCCAATTCAATACTACAGACTAAGCTAAAGAATAGAGAATGAAGTCAATGAATGCTATCTATGATCGGGGGATATCGGTCGGTATCGGTATCACATGGCATTTGTATACGATGTGGTGGTATTCTGTTTTGTACTGGGGTAATGGGCATTGGACAGTGGGTATGTACATACATGGTGGGTTCATATGTTGGTGCTGATTCTATGTTTCTTTTGCGGCCGAGTCTCGGGGTTCATTTCATTACGCGCATTTAGACGCGGCTTGGAGAGGGAAATTCCATGGGATGGAGGCATGAGGTGATTTGATATTGTTCTTTTTCATTTTATTCGTATGAACGTGATTGGGAGGCAGGATACGAATATCTTATTCGTATCGTTCGTATCAAATCCATTTCTCCATCCTCAAATAGTCTCCCTCCATGAATAAGATATCATATGCTATCCACCTCTCATCTCTCCTACGGTCCTACCCCTCCTTCCCCTTTCAAACCCCACATTGTTCATCGCATAATCATAATTCATGGCCGTTGCTATGTGGAGCCTCATGACCATTTTTTAACATCCTTTGTCCATTTGAATCCGAATTCGAATCTACAACTCGTTGTGCTCCTGTCCACCAGCATCAGTATCAGCAAGAGCCGTCATGACAGCCTCGGCGGCTCCAGAAATAACACTTTTCACACCTCCTGTTGCAGCTTCAGTAGCCTTTTCGGTGGCTTTGTCTACTAAGGACGAAGCACTATCAGTCGCGGTATCGGCGGCATCAGATGATGAGGAAGAGGTCTTTTCGATGATGGTTTCGGGTTTGGGAACACCTTCAATGCCCATGAGTTCGGTTTCGAAGACTGTAAGTAGGAGGTGAGGTCAGTATTGTTTTTGAAGGGAAGTTCGAAATGTTGAAAGAAGGATATGTTTATGAGTGAGATATAGAATGAAGGGTATTTTGGTGAGAATGATATTGATTGAAGAATGGTACATACTCAATGTGCTCTTGGCTGGGATTGGACCCATAGCTCTATCACCATAACCAAACGCAGGAGGAATAGTAAGAAGTCTCTTTTCACCGATACACATATCAAGAAGATTATCATCCCATCTGCCAATCAACAATTAGTATTTCCTTTCCTTCTCTTCATACCTCTAGAACTCCAGGTTATACACACCCTTTAATGACACTGCCCTTTCCAACAACAAAGCTCAATGGTGATCCGCGATTGTAAGATGCATCAAACTCCTTTCCAACCTTTCCATCTTCTTCAAGATTTCCTCTGTAATGAACATGAATCTTATCACCCTTTTGAGTTTTGCGCTCACATTCTACAGCTTTTACAATCTCAATCTTGACTTCAGCTGCAAGAACGCTGGATGCGAGAGCAATGAGGGAAATTGTTGAAAGACGCATATTGATGATTATAATTAATTGATCAATAGAAGGTATTCGAAAATGGTATGTGTATGTTTAACAAGAGAGTTTGTACATGTACAATAAAGAAGTTTTGGACAACGTTGAGGTTAAGTGGTGGATTTGGAGAGATGTACCTAACCAGGATTGAAGTTCATGCGGGATAAACTATGGATAAATTGATGATTGACCAATCAAATATCAATAAGACGGATGCTTACATGAGAATCTTTTATCCTCTTGGTTTTCCAACTTCATTTCCCCTCTTTCTTCTTCTTTCTTTCTCTCAAAACAACATTATTGTTACATCAGTTCTTCATAATTTTACGAGTATTTGTTTGTTTGCTTGTTTCAATTCCTTATATTCATACACCTAAACAACCAACCATGCATCGAAAATTCCATAATATGTCAGTCATACGAATACCCGGATCAATTTGACTCATACATAGCCTTACCGCGTCTTTGGAAACCTTGGAACCTTGTGGGAAGGAACAACTTCAGCTGATCAAGCTCTCAAAAATCAAATAAACCTCACCGGGGTCAAAAACAAGGCAACAATAATATCATCAGTCACATTCCTCGATCTTGTCTCGTACAATATTCAAACGTTTGATGGGCAAAACTTTCCGCAAATTTTCCATCCGTTTGTTTGTCTCTACAGTACTTGTTTCAAAAAATGCCTGGTGGGAAGCTATGGTGGATGGAGGCCCAACTAGACGACTATGCTCTTGTGCTGCGCAAATGCCTCCACATTCTTCAATAAATCTCCATGGCTCAGTCTTTGACTCATGGGGAAAAGAGGATGGACCCCTCTCGTTTCCGCGATTTGCCAGCGGAGGCCTTAAGCTTATTGCTTAATCTCCTTCAACCTTATTCTCATCCACGATCGACGTCATCACTAAAGCTCGAACTTCTTTATCGTTCTTGGATGAAACCATTCACCGATGCTATTGTCCGTTAGCTTGGTGACTCACTAGATCAAAATGAACATTTCGGGTCAGTATAGCACATTGAAGGCAGCCACCCATTGGGTAGAAGACCCTGTTCCAAAGTAGTTGACTGGACTTATGTCCTTTTCAGGGCTTGTTCAATCGAATGATTTCGCCCCCTTTGGAAAGCTGTGAGCTGCTGTACACATCAGGTAACAATTGAATGATTTCATTAGTCAATTTCTTATTTACTATAAGTATGATGTTTTTCATATTGTTTGCTCTTTTCATCCGAAAAAGATTAACTATTAGGTTTATCATACGGTTTCCTTACAATACCACGAGTTCCATTCTACGCTCTGTTATAAAGCAATCAATACCGACTTTCACCTAGCACATTACATATCTAAAGTCTCCGAAAGTACTCGTCCGAAAATATCAATGTCCTACACCGATTCTCGTGGATACACATACACATACACACAACGAACTACTATCCTACATCATCGGGATCCTTCTCCAAGAGATTCGGAATACTTGTACGAAACTCGCTCATCCGATTATTACACCGGATCTAGCGCAAATATGTCAGGACGTACATCAAGTAGTGGAAATGGTTCCGTTTCTAGAGGAAGTGGTGGAGAACAATATGTGAAGTACAGAGATTCCGCTGCCGGTATGTCGCACTTCTCTCCGTCTTTTTTTGCGAATTATACTAACATTCTTTCTTCCCCATAACAGACAATAAATACATTGAAGGAAAAACATCACGAAGCGGGAATGTTCACGTCATCACTCACGGCGATAGTCACAAACACTACGATCCTGCGGAGCCGAGAGCCAGTGAGGGCAGAGAATCAGACTATAAAAAGACTTCCACTCGCGACGAGAGAGAGAAACTACGCCCGTCAGTACATCGTGAATCACGTCGTTGATCATAAGGCGGAAGATTGTTCAAAGTGAGGCGTTGGGATTAAGGGGCTAAGCGACGCCAGTTTGCAGGCTACAGATTACGCAGGCTTAATACGGTTAAACTTATGGTTAATAAGTCTTGAGTCTTAGCGGGGGGCACAATTTTTTTTATTTGATCTTGGCATGGGTATGGGTATGCGCATACATGGAGTTATGGAGATTTGGATGGATATAATTTATGAGATTTCCTGGTTGCAGGGTAATTATTAGCTGGGAGTTTAGGATGGGATTGGAATGATATGGGTCGGGATAGATAGGATGGGATAACACTGATATGAGACAGAACAGATAGGATTGGATGATATACCTTAATTGTTGAGAGAGTAAAGGTTCTTTCGGATAAAGTTATCTATTGTCTTGAATTGGTAATTATATATGCTTTCTAATTACAAATCGTTTATATTATATATATACTCTAGTATATCATCCCATCATGATGTCTGTTTTCAACATTTTATTTAATGTGAAAATAGTAATAGTTCATACAATACCAGATTGGATATAATATAAGAACTTGAAAAGTGTTTCAGCTCTTCGTTATTTATCGCACTGCATGTTAGTTGGGTATTGAATTGTATTGGTTGCTGTTACTATCAAACCCTACCTACTAGGTGAGTGTGAGTGTTAGGGAGTGTGAGGGAGTCACGGTGTAGATTGGAGATTGGAGATTTGGGGGGTTGAAGATTTGGAGAATAGTAGTACTCGTCTTAGAAGGAGAGGGGCGATGCTTACTTAGGGTGGACTCGGAAGGGGAAAGGCCCGGGGAATTGGGGTTGCCAGTGGGGTTGTGGTGGTTGTGGTGGTTGTGGTTGTGGTGTTTGTTTGTTTTTTTTGGTATTCTTACGGTTAGGGTCAATACTAGTACTCTGACTACCGACTCGGAGGGAGGTACTAGTATTCCGTGCTTTTTGTGTCACGGTTATTGAGTACGTACGTACCCAGTATATTATAATAAGTATGTACTCGTGTATATTTACATTAGACTCGGTTTTAGGCAGGATGCGGATATTGGGGTTTGGTGGGAGGGATGGAATGGAGGGATGGAGGGATGGAGGATAGAGATAGGTGAGGTAGGAGATAAGGATGCATATAATATCCCTATCGCGCGAGCTCCATACATGTATCATGTATCATGCATGGCATTAGTACTGGTACTTTGGTACGAGGAATATACTAGTCGAAATGGAAAGGCAGTTAGTAGTACTGTACTCGAGTAGAATGTATAATAGTACGATTGGGAAACGAGAAACGAGAAATCATTCCAATGCATGGATAGTATGGTCTGGACAGTGGAATCTGGATGGGGTGCGGGTGGCAGTATACTTGTATTGTATCACAACACCAGTTACAAGTGCAACGCGAGAACGATTTTAGATGGAGATATACCAAGATCCGATATTCGGAGCTGGAGTTTGGATTTCTTTGTATTTTTTGGGGGGGGGGCGGGGGGGGGATCATATACATACTTGTATGCGTATGGTTGCAGATAGAAAACCTTGGTCCTTGTGTCAATTTTGGGGAGGGGTCGTATCGATCTGACTGTTGTGATGTGATACTGTGAGTTATTTTTGTATTTTTGGATGGCTTGGGCTGGGAAAGTGCTGGGAAAGTGCTGCAATGGAATGGAATAGAATTGAATAGACGGAATAGATGGAATGATTTATAGCCGATTTATAACAGGATATCGCCAATTTCCATTAAATTACATTCGCGTATTTGAGGGGTACCGACAGCTGAGGTTCATCTTGACACCACTCAAAGTTCTGTAATATTGCATAATATAGCCTTTTATATCTACATAATAGGACTTCAAGAACAAGATTCGTCTCCAAAAACAACTACCTTTGAAGTCCTGTGCTTTGATATTGTAGCTCAATAATCTCATTTTATCTGTTCGGATCACTTCCAGGATTTCCCGCATTGCATTGTATCGTATTGTATTGTGCTCTAGCTTATTATCAATAGGTTACAATTGCAGAAAGTTCTCTCTGTACGAGCTCGAGGCCATTGATGGAATGATGCAAGTGTATCGCGCGGAGTCCATGAGGTAGATAGGTACAGGTATATAGTGTGGGACTTGTACTTATAGGTAATAGGCACAGTACCTCGAATTCCGTTGTACGAAATCTACGGGTCTAGGTAGGTACTTGCATGCATACCCCTTCTTCTGTGGTACCACACTGGGTCGACTCTTGTATCCAAAATGTGGCTATTTAATTCTTCGCTTCTCTTTACATTATTTTTAGCCAGTTCACTTTCGTACCCCAAAGGTCGGCTGTTCATACTTGTAGTTCGTGTTACTACTCAGTAATTAGTACTCCTTTAGATTTCTCGCTTCATTCTTGTGCTACTCCTAATTTTTTTGGTACACTACTTCTCGCTTATCTCCTCGTACTTGTATCACACTGGGTTATTTCGCTTCAAACTAGCTTTGAACTAGCTTCATTTGTGTACGTACGACAGAACACCATATGTAACAGAAGATATCTTCTGTTGCACTTCTATGTGCGTGGGTGCACTGCATCAAAGTGGGGCGTAAAACGTTTCGAAATTTTAGTTTGTGGTTGATGGTTTGGTTAACGTTGGACAGAAGGAAGGAAAGGGGTGGGACGAAGGGTTGGTGGATGAAGGGTTGTGGGATGGGTCCCCGATGGAGGGTATGTGTGTGGGGAGCTCGTGTTCGGAAGGATAGATGCATGGAGTAGGGAAGGTACTGGGGAAGGCGGGGAAGTTGGGGTTGGAGGGGTTCTTTGGTTTGTGTGGTGTGGTTCCTGTTAGTTTGGGGATTGGTCGGTTTCGGGTACTGGCATGGAGCTTGTGGGGGAAGTATTGCGGGGAAATGGATAGGGATAGGGATAGGAATAGGGATAAGTATAGTGGAAAGTTACGGTGGTACGCATGGTACGCGTGATGTCGATAATGGGTACTCGGTAGTTTAAAAAGTAAATCAATGAACATAAATAAATGAGCCTCGGCAAGCCCACGACTTTGTGTCAATGGTCGAAGAAGGTTGAGTTCTTGTACTACTTAAAATAAGGTGAAGTGGAGTGGTTTTGAATTACCAAAGTCTTACATCGGGTTGACAACTCTGTAAACAGGTCTTGTTGAACTACTCATATATAGGAACTATCAGCTTACTGAAACACCATCGCCCACAAAAGAGGATTATTCTTTGGATCACACAAGTTTTGCAGTATCATGTGAGTGTGTAAAAAGTGGCAACGGAAGGGAGCTTGAGATAAGATGAGAATGATGACAACGGAACTGTGTGCCAATTTTCGTTGTTTATCAAACGGTTATAATCGGACCTTACCTCCCGGCGCTTCAACATGTAATGTTACATTATAGGCTTCAATATTCCTAAAGTGTTATCTCTGTTGTTTGTCTTGTTCAAACTCCTTGGGATATAGCAGCTCAGAGGAGTCTTGTCATTAGATATATATGGGAATCTTGGCCGTATTCACTAATCTTGCTTCCTCGAGCCTGGGTTTTCATGCTTGTAGCCATCAAATACGAGTTTTTAATTCTTATTCTTTGATTTAGTGAATAGCTGCTGAGCATATCTTCTCTCTATTACATTGGTTTGGGGTATTTAATCTTCCAAACTCAATGAGCTACAGCTACTTGTCAAAAAGAACAAGAACAAGCTGGAGAGAGCTGCAAAATATGCGTTTGTCAGATAGTAAATCAAAAGAATCTTTAAGTATACACAGCCAATGAGTCATCAACTGCAAATCATGAAGCTTTTCAATCCAACTGTACTCGAGTACATGATTTTCTGTCGTGGGCATATTCGTAAATCGTGCACTAGAGGGTACATAAATATTCATCCTTCTGAGTGGCAAGATTTGTAACCACTCTTACCACAATAATGGACGAAGCAACAGCAAGAGCGAAGTCAGGCTAACCACGTCCACATCGAAAATTGGATGTTGTTGCTTTTTGATGATGAGATGGTGGGAATTGGGTTCGAATGAGAGGGAATGCTCGAATACTTTGTGAGACGAATATGAAAATTGGAGATGCGAGATGGAGTGACAGCGAAAGTTAATGTAAGATGAGAGACAGCGGCTATCGTCGAGTTTGTGATGGTGAAGATATATCCCCAGAATTTCTAATGTGTATCCAAATTTATAATTCACTATGCTAAAGGTAAAGGTCACACACAGTCTACTCTTATTTACAATCCACCGATGCATCTTGGAACAATATTTTGAAGGAAATATCTACGATAAAGATGTCAACTTCAAGCGCTATCTTGCGGAATTGAATACATATCAAGGTGCCTATAAAGATACCTGCTTCCACTGACGACATAGGTAGTTCTACTTCTTTGACAACCCAAAAGTGTATTCGAAATCAGAACGCTGGGAAATTCGAAAAGGACGAGGACAAACAACAGCATAAGCGAGAAAGCACGAAAGCAAAACGCCGGTAAAGCCCAAAGAGTACGAGAACCAGAAATAAGTCAAGCTAGAAGATACTAAAGTGACACACGAGAAAGACTTAATGTGGGTGTAATGATCAATGATTTTACAGTCGAAGAAACGGATTTGAGGGCACAAATCAAGGAGGTATGGAAGTAGGTCTAAAAATCAAGATAATTAATCAATCGAGATCCAAGAATGTGTATAAGTCAGAAAATGAAAGATTTGAGTTTGACAAGAGATGATTGGAAACAATGCAGTAATTTTATGAGAAACAATATTTTCAGCACAATGAGAGCTGCAATGTAAGAAAAATAAAGATTTCTGAATTCAACAATACTACCAATCTATTCATGCAGCTTTGCGAACCTTCGTGTCAATCTTGCTGGAAGAAGCTTGCATATTTTGTCAACATCATTTTGTTCTCAATGGGCTTTAGGGTATTCTTAGTTTTTGGCTATCCGCAATGTATAGTATAGATTTGACACTATTAGTAGGTAAGATTCATAAAATAGAGATTCTATCGGAAAGAAGAC